GCTGTCAGCGTGCTTTGTCTTATCTGTATTCCCCTGCCCTGCCTACATATTAACAGGAATCTGGCAACCTGGCATTCAATAAACATTTTATTTGAACTGATAGGTCTTTATCCGCTAATGTTAGTTCAATAAAAACTTCTTAAACAATTCATTCATTCATTTACACACAAATGTTGAATATGCAATTGCTGTGCCGGGCGTATGGTAGTGAGCAAGATAGATACTGACTTTGTGTTCTTGGAGTACAGCTCATGTTTAAAGAGAAAGACAGACAGTGAATCTGCATTCTACACTGATGGTTAGACTTACTAAAACCTCATCTGGGGTCAGTGAAGCCTGAGGGGTGACTAGAAGCTAGATTTACAAATTCCCAAAATGATCCAATGAGATAGAGCTATGATTCCATTTTCAGATGAAGAACTGGAGGCATGCGTCACACAGCTGCAGTAGTGGCAGAGCTAGTATGTGTGATAGGGGTGTGTGTGGACTCTCGGGAAGCACAGGGAGGAGACATTTGGTCCAGCCAAGCTGTCAGGGAAGATGATCTGGAGGAGACGACATCTGAGCAGAGCCTGGAAAGCAGGCAGGAATCTACCAAATGAGTGAGGGAATGATGTGACCACCAGGCAGGGCAAAGACACCAGGGCATGAAACATCACAGCATGTGCCTGGAATGTGAAGCCAGAGGGAGGGTACATCAGGACCGAGGCGGGGGAAGCAGCCTATGGAGGTCTTGTGTGGTGAGCTTAGGAGTTGGACCCTATTCTGCAGGCCATGATGTGCCACCGAAGGGCTGCAGGCAGATGCATAATGCAGTCAGATCTTGCTTGAAAAAACCACTCTGGCCCGGCCATGTGGAGGATGGATTTGAGGAGGACCAGATGGGAAGCAGGGGGACCAATTAGCAGGCTATTGCAGTATTCCAGGAGAGAGATGAGGAGGGCTTCAACTAGGGCAATGGTACTGGGAATGGACAAGAGGGAACACGAGAGAAATATGTTTGTGGTAAAAATGGTCAGAACTCTGACTGGCTGGATGTGGAGCAGCACAAGAAGGTCCCAGGTCAGGCTGTACTGCCTGGACAAATGACTGTGCTAATCTGGGACACAGGAATGCAAAGCGGAGTTGCTGGGGGTGTAGATGCAGTCCTTCCAGGAAGGAAGGTGGTCATAGTTCTCTCTCAGGGTCTTTTCCAGCCAGAGCTGTTTATGCTGGACTGGAGAGACCTGTCAGCTGGGGACATTCAAGGCCTGAGAGCAATGCAGATCTTCAGAAACAGGCTGGGTTCACCTGAAACAAACTCAACAACTCCTTTGGTTATAGGGGGATACATTTTCAAAATAAAGGTGAGCAAATCCCAGCATAGCAGGCCACAGAAGCAAAAGGATTATAGAACTGCTGATCACAGTTGAGATATAGGAGGAGAGATTAACTCTTGGGTCTCATCCCCCATCATTCTTCTTCCCACCCCCTTCCTGTCCCCCAATCAGCACACGTGTGCACACACATACGCTCAAGCATGCATACGCGCATGTGCATACGCTTTATCATCCTTAAACTTCTCACCTTCCCCCAGACACACCAGGCCTGCCCCACTTCCTCTTTGCACCTGCTGTTCTCCCTGCCTGCAGAGTCTTTCCTCCAAGTTCTCCACTGGGCAAAATTGTTTTCTTCCTTCCACACCAATCCAGATGCCTGGCCTCTCTGATGCCCAGCCCCACTACCCCACATGGGGTTAATTGTCCTGCCCTCAGTGTCCTCTCCACACTTCCCCCCGCCCCACCCCTGTCAAAGAGCACTTTGTATTGTGTTTCCCTGAGTTCTTTCTTCACTGCCAAGCTGAACTCTTGAAGTCTTGTCAATCTTGGTATCCCCGGCAGTGGCACAAGTTCTGGTCCATCACTGGTGCTCAAAAACTGTTTGAGGAATGAGCACATTCCCTGAAGATGGACTAGAATATACCTTCCCAGGACATGATCTCAAGTTCTTCACTTAAATGAAGGGTGACGTATTTACTCTCTGGACACTCACATGCCACTGGGAAATAAAGCCTGAAAACACATGAGACGAAGGCTGTAAAGGTGGTGCCTACCTTCACTCTCAGTTCTACATGAATAGGTCAATTATTTTTCTGAAATTGGCCCTTATATTTATCCCCACTTTACAGATAAGGGTTCAACCCTCAGGGAAGGCAACAGCTGTTTTGGACTAAAATGATCAAAGACTTGTTTAACATCTTTCAAGGGAAATGAGTAGGTAAATGAGAACACCAGCTGTCTGGGGTTTGGTTCTTACAGAGATTCCCCACGCTGACCACAGTTGGTGGGCCCAGATGAAGCCCCCCAGAGAGCAAAACCTTCAGTTGTTTGTCAGGTGGCCTGTGCAGTCCTCTGGGATTCTTATTGGCTTCAGGAGCAGGAGGAGGACTGACCACTATGAACCAATTTATTAGCCTCCCAAGAATTATCTCTGCCTGCCTCAGGCTGGGCACCTCAACTTGACAAAGTTGGTGCTCACAAGCAGGGCAATAGACAAGGGCCAGGAGTAGCTGGAGACTGGAATCATCATCATTATGAAATCAATAACAGCAATGACAGCAACAGAAACTCTTCTCTGACATTTACTATGTGCCACACAGTGTTCTAAGCCTTTCTCTGGATTCGTATTTTATAGTCCTTACAATGCTTCTCTGAAGCAGGTACTGTCATCCCCATTTATCAGATGAAGAAACAGAGGTGCAGAGAAGTTCAGCAATTGGCTTAAGATCAGATAGCAGAGCTGGGACTTGAAACCAAACAGTGTGATTCCAGAGCTGCTATTCTTAAATATTATGCTGCAGGGAAGTGCAGAAGGCAAACCAGTACCTTGACCTTCCATGGAAGGGCACACTAGGAAATAAGAAGCCAGCATTTGCTCTTACTCTGACCCCCATACACCTCCAGGCTGTCCAACTCCAGGCAGGGATGAATGTCTGCTCTTTGCTAGGTTAGAGCTCTGCAGAGTCCAGAAAGTACAAGTGAGCTGGAGAATGCTGGGCGGATGAGCTGGGTGCCCCTTTTCCCTCGGCCTTGCAGCAATGGCCTTCAGATTGCTGCCTCTCCTGGGTGCCAGGATTGCTGCTGTCTGTAGCCTAATCTCCATTCTGGTGGTTTTGGTTGCTATGGTAATTGAATTCACTTAAAGTTGTCTCCAATCTAGTCTGTCTACTTCTTTCTGCCCATAACCTGGAAGGGCACAGGCCCAGGATGGAGGGCAAGAAGGATAAGGGATTGCTGCCCTGGGAAGCCTACATGCTTTTCCTGATCCAGAGATCTTCCTCAGTGGCAAACAGAAGAGAAAATCGCAAAGAAATGTTTTTTGCAAGTCTCTCTCCATCTTCCTCTTTGCTGCCTTAGCTCCTTTCTGCATAGACCCATTGGAGTTAGATGGGCTGGAAAGGCAGGGACTGGCACAAGGTACTCTGAGAGCCTCTTCCATTCTTCAGTGTTTTGTTATTCATTCAACAAACACTTATTGAAGGTTAACTGTATTCTAGGCTGCTTGCCTAGACAGGGGTCTCTCTGGGGCCAGCTCAGGATCCAGAGCCACAGGGAATGTCCCCTGACAGCACATGTCTGTGTGGCTACCACTCTGAGATTTCAGGAGAATGGCCAGCTAGGCCAGCCCCTGACAGGAAGATTAGGGACCGTGGGACATCTCCCTTTCCTCCTTTCTCTGCTAGAGGGAGATTCATCACACAGCTTAGGGCTGCTGAGCAAGTGGAGAGGAATCAGAGATCCTAGAAACTAAGCTGCAGAGGAATAGGACCATCCCTAGATGGGACCTGAGGTGCAAATAATACTCATTTTCTCCACCATTCTAATGCAAAAAGAGTTTTGACACATAAGACAAACGACAAGGATGGAAACCCATACCAAAGAGCTGCCTGAGGGGTGTGTAGGAATGACATTCCCTTCCCCTGACCACTGCCACTTTGCTTGGATGATAAGGGAGTGGGGATAAGAAGGTTATAGTAGATTATAGGTGACTGTGTGTTCGCAAGTCTCAGTCAGAGAAATCTCTGTGCAGAGTCAAGGCAGGGAGTGAACTAAAATAAGGAACCTGGAACATCAGTGTGGGGGAGTTCTGTTTGGGACAGGTGAGTGAGGTGCCTGGTGTATTCAAGGTCAGGTGCCCGATAGGCAGAAAGAAGTGTATTTCTAGCACTTGGGAGAGAGTTGCTCGTTAGAAATGCGCATGTGAGAATCATCAGCCTAGAGGTGACAGCTGAAGTTGCGAGAAAAGACGACATTGCCCAGGAAGAAGATGCAGAGGAGGGATGTGAGAGGAGGCAAGCACAGCTCCTTGGAGAGTGGTCAGAGGCAGGGCAGTTAGTTTCTTTTAGGAAGCAGGGGAGCGGCCTGGAGTCAGTGATTGGTAGGAAATAGTTAGTAGTACACGTATTGTGTGGGCTTCAGGGAAGAAGATGCTGAGGGAGTTGTGGAAAGTCAGGCTAGTGCAGTGGCTGTCAAATATGAAAATGCATCATGATGACTAGAGACCTTATTACAACACAGCGGGCTGGATCCCACCCCCAGAGTCTCTAATTCATTAGGTTGGAGTGGAACCCGGGAATTCACCTTCCTTCCTTCCTTCCCTTTTCCTTTCTTTCTTTCTTTCTTTCTTTCTTTCTTTCTCTTTCTTTCTTTCTTTCTTTCTTTCTTTCTTTCTTTCTTTCTTTTTCTTTCTTTCTTTCTTTTCTTTCTCTTTCTTGTCTTCTTTTTCTTCTTTCTTTTCTTTCTCTCTTTTTCTTTCTTTCTTTCTCTCTCTCTTTCTTTCTTTTCTTTTTTTCTTTTTTTTTTTTTTTTAACAGAGTCTCCCTCTGTCCCCCAGACTGGAGCAATCGTGGATCCTGGCTCACTGCAACCTTGACTTCCTGGACTCAAGGAATCCTCCCACCTCTGCCTCCTAATGTGCTGGGATTACAAGCCAGGCATGAGCCACCAGCTGGGCTAGAATTTACATTTCTAACAGGTTCCCAAATGCAAGTTGATGCTGCTGGTCTAGGAACACACCTTGTGAACCAGTAAAGTGATAAACCTGCACTTGAGAAGGTTCAAATTTCATTTCACCCACCCTTTATTGTGGCCCAAATGGGACAGGATGAGAGGAGATGCTGGGCTTTGGTTAAAGAGCAGAGATGGAGAAAAAGATGGAGAGTGCAAGGCAGTTCCTTGGAAATAGAGTGGATACTGAGGGAACATGATGACACAGAAGAGGGATGGCCTGAGGGACACAGCCGCGGCCATGACTGTGGGTCTGTGATTTTGAGTTGTGTAAAGAGATCAATGGTGAGTCTGACAGATGGGAATACGGGGATTACAACCAGCCCCACGGTTCTGTTTAGAGTCCTGGATGAAAGCCTAGAGTCTCCCTTCTAGAGCGCCTCATCCCTCAGCCCTCTCCTTAGCCCCTCTCTTCTAACCTTCTAGGATTATTGCCAGACTCTGGGCCCCAGGCTTTCCCAAGCAGAACAGAGGCAGCTGCCTCATATCCTGGGTCATCTCTCACTGGGGTTGCTCTGTGGACAAGAAGACCTGGTACTTTTTTCATTTTCTTTCCAAGACTCCAGATCAGGCACTTTGAGAATGCTGTGAGGAGGCTCCTGACCTCAATGCCAAACACCCTCTTGAGACTGAGCCGCCCTGCCAGGGGGGAGGTGCAGAACTTGAATCTTATTTTCTCTCAGCGGAGCGAGTCCATAAAGAAAATCCAATTCATCGATGTCCAAGAGAACATTACCAAGATAGACGAGACACCATGGGCAGTATTTAATTATGAGCAGGCACAGCAAATAGGAGGGACGCAATAAAAATGCTAATCAGGGAGGAAAAAAAACAGACTTCGTTTTCGGCTAAGCTCATCTCTTCCCCCTCCATTTCCAGCCCCCAAATGAGTGCCGCAGACCAGGTTCTGAATGTGACTCTGTGACAGGTGAGTCCATTTTAGCCCCCCCACCCCCACCGGCTTCTTCCTGCCTCCATTGTCCCAATCTCCTAGTTCCTAGAAGATCCAGCCCAAAAAGAGGGAGACTGGCTTTCCCTTGCAAGCACACAGTTTCCGCTTCAGCCAGGGAGAACTGGCAGGGAACTTAGAGAGAGAATGAAGTTATTATTCAGGGCTCAATTCCATGTCCCAGGGAGCACTTTAGGAAGGAACAATCTCCCCCTCTCAGTGGCATATCCAGAACTTGCATGAGAAGGGAGGGAGACCAGCTAAGTGCCCCCTGACAAACTTGAATTTAATGTGTTGGGTTTAGTCTCTGGCCTGTTCCTAAGTGGCTCAGTCAATCCAACTGCAAGCCACTTAAGATGAGCTTGGGGGACATTCAGCCAGGCCCAAAGCAGATTCTCAATTCCTTTCAACTTGGCTGAGCTTGATGCTGAAATATGGTTTAGGAATTGCAGGCCATTACTGTCTCACCCCAATTTGGCAGACTCCTCATGTAGCCAGATCCTTTGGGTCACTATATCCTTCCTTACTAAAGCTCAACTTTTCACACTGCTGCCAGGCAGATTTATTTCTCTAGTTTTGCTTGGTTGCTGGGCTGCCTGGATCCCAAGCCTCATGCTGCTTTTGGGTAAAATTTGCTTGTTTTTGCAGCCCTCAGTATCCCAACTCAGTCCAGGCTCTTTCCCTAGGTTTGTTTCTTCTGTTTACTGGGCATACCATTCATCCTGGCTGGTTTCCATGCAATTTCCTTGTCACTTGATTAATCTCTCTGTGGTCTTCTCAAATCTGTATGCAGCTTGAGGTCTTCCCAACATCACCAAGACAGGACCTGGGCTTGAGGACCATCTGGCATCTCTGTATCACCTCCCTTCCCTCCATGACTCAGGGAGAAAGAACCCAGGCCTTAAACTCCTAGTTATGGCCCCTTCCTGGAAAAATATCTGTTAAATTAAAAGTTCACATACCAGCTTAGTTACTTAACTGGTATGGAACCCTAGACAAGCTACTTAACTTCTCTGTGCCTCAGTTTCCTCATCTAACCAATGGAGATAACATTATCTTCCTCATGTTTATTATAAGAATTCAGTGCAAACACATTTAAAGTGATTAGAAGAGTGCCAGTCACATAATAAACATTCAGAAGGGGTTAGGTATCATCATCGTCATCATCATCATTATTATTATTGTTATGACATTTATTATTAAAGTCAATGATTATCTTATTTGCCCGTATGTCCAGGTACTTGGTAGAGTGGCATAAATAAACATGCAATAATCATTGAATGAATGAATGAATGAATGAATGTTCATTTAAGCTAATTCTTTCAAAGACATTACCCGTCCCAGGAAAATCTAAAGAGAGGACCTATGATGACAAGGCTTTACACATAAGTGGCTAATGGTGTGATTTCAGGCATGTGTGGGAAAGGGATTTTGAGTTCTTTTCACAATCTCCTTCATATTGAGTCACATAGTTACTAGAAACATAACTAGGCCTGATTTTCTGGTCACCCATGAATCTTCTATGGGTGATCAGGACAGAATCTTGATTGGAAAAAAGTTATGCAATTCAGAGGCGATAGGTAAACCAAGGTCTGAGAGCCGTGCCGGTCCCCACACTGGTATTACACCCTGCCATGGACAGTGTGCTTTCATAGGGGTCATCCCACATGCTTCTCAACAGAAGAATGAGTAGGTTGGGACCTTTATTCCTCTTTCTTTTCTTTTCTTTTTCTTTCTTTCTTTCTTGCTTTCTTTCTTTCTTTTTCTTTCTTTCTTTCTTTTTCTTTCTTTCCTTCCTTCCTTCCTTCTTTCTTTCGTTCTTTCCTCTCCTTTTCTTTTCTTTGAAAATATATTCCTATTTTAACATGGTTCAACTAAATGTCACCAATTCCCTGAGTAACATTCCAGAGATATTTTATGCATATACAAGCAAATACACACATATATTATCTCTCCCCTCTCCATGAATGAAAGCTTGCTTTACACACCGTCATGCACCTTGCATTTTTTCATTTAATATTATACTCTGGAGCTTATTCTATATCAGTATATGTAGGCTTACATCATTCTTTTTGGTGGCTGCATAGTATTATATTATAGAAATTAGTTTGTTCAACCAATTGATGTTGTTTCTAATTGTTAACCATTACAAATAAAACTGTAATGAATAACCTGTGGGTAAGTATACCTGTAGGATATATGGGAGTGTATGTGAAGATAAATTTCTAAAACAGAAATTGTTTGGGCAAAGGCTTTATTCATTTGTAAATGTGATAGTTATTGACAAATTGCCTTTCATAAATAGCCACCTTTTTTTAGTTATAACAAAACAGGAGCTTAAAGAGGGTAAGTGAGTTGACTAAGGTTGTACGGATTATACATAAAGCAACTGGGATGATAACTAAGGTTTGTTGAGCATTAGGGCTCTCTGGGCCCATGAACTCAAAGAAATGGGAACATGTAAGATATATCCTACAGATTGCTGAGCTCTAATACAATCTACACCTTCATATATTAAACATTGAGCACTGTGGATTCAACTTTGAGAAAACCACGGTCCCTACCCGCAAGCAATCTCAAGCCTAGAAGGGGAGAGAGACAAAAAAAAAAAAAAAAAAAAAAAAAAAAAGAAGAAGTAATTTCAGTTTCGCATGGTGGGATAAGGCTGAGATACAAGGAGATATAATGAGAACATGGGAAGGGATCCTGATCAGCTTTGGCTTCCTGGAGAAGGAGGCATTGTAGGTGACATTGAATAATCTAAAAATGCCCTTTGTAACATTAATTATGACTTGCCTCTTGTTCAACTCTCACTATTTCCTATACCAACCTTCTATCAAAGTTATTAATAAGTGGCAAAATAAGTTGCTTTGTGAAAGCATGGTGTAGTTGCAATAATAGTAAGAGAGGCTACTGTATTCTGAGTTCCCACTGTATGCCAGACACTGCTTTCTGGCTCCGTCTTAACTAGCAGTGTGATGTTGGTCAGGTAACATCTCTCATGTGTGACTAAGGCCCCATTACTGAAATGAAAAGTTGACCAGATGATCCCTAGCTTCCCAGCCCCAGCAGTTCTCTCACATGCTATGGCTCTATCTCTTCTAAAATCACTGAAGCCTCTGCTGGGAGATAATAGACAAGGAAATGGCTAGGAGAGGGGGCATCAGGGAAAAGGAGTAAAAGGACTAGAGATAGTCCTCAAACTGGCAAATCAGACTTGAGAAATTCAATTTTGAGAGAAGATGATGCATATGCCACGTAAATATTAATACTGAAAACACCTTACCGTTATATTTTTTAAGTGCTTTCATATGTTATTTCATGTGTTCTTCATAACAATAATGTGAAGGAGGGAGTTAGGGAGGTGGGGAAACTGAGGCAGGGCCAAGGGAGGCTAATCAGCCTAAGTCCCATGGTGAGGCAGTGGTGCAGCCTGGGCTAGAACCCTGGACTTTTATCCTGATACATGACTAGTTGAAGTTAGTTGAAGTTCTGTTTTTCCATAAGGCAAAATTCTGGTTGGGAGCAATCCAAAATCCCGAAGACCTCCAGAAGGCTGCACTTAAATGGCCTTTGTGGTGCTGCTCCCACCTCCTTCACTGTCCTCCCAGCAGCATAAGAAGCCTTTTCCTGGGTGCTGGAGCCAGACTTTTCTTTCCAAAGAATGAGTCAAGTGAAGGGTTTTGGTGACTCAGCACCAATTGATCTGGCTGCTGGGCCTGCTCTGGCCTTTGAATCAGCTGAGTAGGATTTCTACCTGGCTCTAGTGACCAGGCTGGACATCCCTGATAATCTGCTTCACCCCCTTGCTCCTCTGAGCCTGGGTCCTGCCTTGCTGTTCTGAGTCCTCCCTCTCTAGGAGTTCAGCCCTGCCCTTGAACCTATCCTGATGCTGATTTCAGAACCTCCACCCTGAACCACTATACACTGCTTGTTTCTAGATCCCCTTTTCTGTGCTCTGTTCAATAACTAGACACCAAGTACTGGACCTCCCTGATGCTGACCACCAGTTAGGGTGTCTGTCTAGCTCCCATGATGTGTTTTCCAAATAATTATCTTTGCTTAGTGGGCTGACTACCTCCCATTGCTGCTAGGTTTGCCCCTATGCTACTCACCCACCACAACGGATAATGCTCCAATTCCAGTCTGGGTGATCTGGCAGTCTGCCTGTCTGGAGGCTCTAAACTCTGTTTCGGTAGCCACCCTCCACCTCCACCCCATCAAAGCTGGAAGCCAGTAGGCTGGTATCCTGAAGCAAGAGCCCACTCTTTGTGGGGCCCTATGGACCCATCTATGGAAGTGCCTGCTAGGTTCCCTTTCCTTACAGGTATGAATAAGAACACAGCCACTTTGGGCCCCTGGAGGGACGGCTCTGTCTGAAAACAGACGTGATTACTATTTCCATCACCATTATAATCCTTTAATCACACATTTGCAGCAGAGAGCCTGGGCAAGGTGAGTCCATTTATATAAACAGCAGGAAAAAAGGAGGCTCTGTGTTATATGCCAACCAGGCTTAGTGGAAACGTAGCAATCGCTAGCCTTTCATGAGCAGAAAAATGAATAATCTAGGTTTTTATCCCCAAACAGCTCACATTCAAGCCACCAGACTTGCGCTCATATTATGAAGGCTTTGACAAAACCATATTACACCCTTTTATGCTGGCCTGAGCTCTCGGCTGTCAGTGGGCTGGAAGGCGTGCAAGGACAGGTCTCTCTGGGCACCTGACAGTCCCGGAACAAAGACTCTCCTATGTGTTTGGCCCTAGGTTGCTGGAACTATCAATCCTATCTTCCTACCATGAATGGGATAAAGAGTCTAAGGAAGATTCCAAAACGATTGTTTGGAATGAGTCCTTAACAGATACAGGGGTTTTTTCCCCCTCCTTTTGAGATGGTGAGAAGATGAGAGAAACAGGTACTCAAACTCTAGAAAGGGAGCTTCTTCAGGTGAAACTGTAGTGTTTCCCTATTTGCCCAGGTGGCAGAGGCAGAGAGGGGGGCCCTGGTGACAGTGCAGTGGCACAGTTCACTCTAAGAAGGGCATTCAGGCTGGGAATATGCCCCGACTCTCTTAATTTTAGATAATTGCCTAAGTAGAGGTGAGTCTTTCCCTCCAAAAGATTGGTTGTCTTGTATGTAAGACTCTCTTTTCTGCTTTTGAATGGGGCTTTATGATTTGCTATTGCTGTGTAACAGAGCACCCCAGAACTTGGCACTTACAAGAGTAATTATTTATTTAGCTCACAGGTGTGGGCCACCTGCAGTCAGCTGGTCTCAGCCAGACTTGGCTGGACAGTTGGAATCCAGCTCTGTACCATGTATGTCTCATCCTCCCTCTGGGACCAATGGGGATGTCAAAAGCACCTGAAGATGAGCAGAATACAAAGCCTCTTAAAACCTAGGCTCAGAACTGTCACACTGTCACATGGCCAGTGACAAAGCTAAGAAGAGGGAAAGCGACCACTCATTTATGGGAAGAACTGCAGAGTCACAGGGCAAGGGTCATGAATAGAGGGGGTGAAGAAATTGGCCTAATGACAAGTCTGCAGAACCCAGAAAGACGTCAGAATTGTGCTTTCTCCCTTGAAGCTCTTGCAGAGGACTCCCCGTTCATACCCCTTCTGCTTGGAATGGATGAGATGATGGTGGATCTTCTGAAGAAGGACCCGGCCAACCCAGAGTAACTTGGCCTGATGACTCCCTCTCCATCTTTCCTGTGCTGGTTCAAATGTGGGCACAGACAGGATAGAAAGACAAAGAGTTTGCAGTAAGCCAAATGATTACTTCAGTCTCATAGTGGTTAGGTCCTGATGAGTTGTAGTTTTCATGTCTGAAATTTCCCCAGGAAAATAAAGTGGCCAAAGGTATATACGACAAGGAGCGAAAAACAAACATTGCTCCAATTCGGGTCACGTGACCCATGTTACTGCTGAACGGGAAGCGTGAACCAGCGGGTTGAGTAATGCTGTGCCCAGCTTCAACGGCAGACCATCATGTGGAGCCGAGATCTTGTAAATGATCTGAACAGAGATTTCACAGAAGCTCAGTAAAAGAACTTGGCCTTGCTACAACCCTGGACTCTTCAAGCCAACAGAGGTCCAAAACACACTGTTGAGTTTCCATCCGTGCAGAATGGCTGCGAATGGGGCTGTGGCGACAGCAACTCACAGTTTTCCAGAACTCCATGCATGAAACTCCTTTCCCAGCCCTGCAGCCTTCCCCATCCCCCAATTAAATAAGCGTTTGTTGTTTTATTCCCTGCCATAAAGCATATTATTTCACGATGTCTCATTTACTAGAGGTTACCAAAAGAAAGCTAAATTGGGATTTTGTTCAGCTGCTGATGACTCTTCCCTATTACCCTAACTCATTTTCAATGGCATTTCAACACTTTGATAATGAATTAGCTCTACCATTTCTGGCACAAAGAAAAGAGAGTTTAAATTAATTTTCAGCAAGGGATACTATTGGTCCAGACAGCTTCCCTCCCACTGTGTTAACATCAGTGTCTTGTCTTGTTAAATGCCGATAAACAAGTGTAACACTCTAACAAGCCACAAATTGGCTTATTGACACCTCCGTCAGCTGTTCTTTGCTTCCCAAATCCCCTGCTTTATAGGCATATGGTGGTTATACAAAACAGGGGTTCTAATGGAACATCAGAATGAAGAGATGCTACTGGCATCTGGGTTCCCTGGCTGCTCATTTTTGTTCTGTCTGACTTTCATCTAACAGTAGATTGTATTAATTTGGCCTCTTCGCCCCGTGCGGTTCATTTGAGGCACATGTATTTTTGGTTTCTACAGAGAGGGGCTGGGCCCATTCCCCTTCCCAGTTCTCCCCAGCTCTTTCAAGCAACGTTTCCATTGGCTTTTACACTGAGTGCTCCTCACCATGTCAGTAAGTCAGACCCCTGAGGACAAAATTGCCAGTAGTCCTTTAATCTGTTCACTTCATGTGCTGCTGGGACCTGAGGACAACAGGACACAGGAGAGCAGGTGATATCTAGTATGGTGCCCCACCAGATTGTCAGGAGACAGAATGACTGCATGGCCAATTACCATTCAACAGGTTCAAAGAGGATAACGCAAGGGAGATTGACCTTAACCCACAGCAAGAGAACTTTAGTTGAAAGATCAGGAAGAACTTCATGAGAGTAAAGATGGTTATGGCTATGACCAATGACTGGCACATGGTACATGGTCAGGCCACTAAGGCTCCCTGCCCAACTCCTCTTCGAGATCCCAGGAACAGAATAGACAGCAACCTGGTCACCTGGGACTGGCTCAGATGTCCCCAGAGGAGGGGGGTTAGATGAGATGACTCATTCTTTGGTGTGAGAGCTCCATAATATCCCTGGTATTCAAAATCAAACACTATTTTTAAAGTTCACATTATTTTGAATGTACATAGGAGATCTCTTCTCCATAATTCTTCTATGGGCATAGCAGTGTGATCAGTGATCAGTAGAATTAACAATAGGAAAGGAATATGAAAATAACATTTCAGGGTGCCAATCTCCAGGAAGATAGCTTTCCTGCCCCTGTCCAAGCCTGCCCTTCATGCAGCATGGTTGGGGACGGTGCTTCACATTCTTGCAATTCTTTGCAGGGGCATAGAACACAAAGGAGATGTTATAGGACCAGCAGGTTCATATGCTTACTGCACAGAAACAGACCAATCACACTGAAACAGCAGGGTTTGAAGCAGAGAAAGGACTTAATCGTTGCAGGGCATGGAACAAGGGGATGGGAGGAGACCCTCAAATCCATCTCCCTGAGTTCTGGGCTGGGGTCTTTAAGAGGATCATGAAGAGTGGGGGGCTAGAAAATTGGGGTATTGAATGATCAGAGCAAGGGGGATGAAATCATCAGAACATGGAAACTGCTTTTTCTTTGATGACTCAGCTTCAGCTGGCATCAGTGGGGTTCTTCAGACCAGCTGGTGTCAGTGGGGTCCTCCACATCATCTGGCACCAGTGGGGTCCTTCAGACCAGCTGGTGTCAGTAGAGCAGTTAAGGGAACCTGTAATCTTGTAACAGGGTCTACATGATTCTAGGACAGTAGGCAAACAACTCTGAGCAAGCAGGTCAGTGAGCAAGCTGACCTAATGATCAATGCTGAATGTGCTGCCAGCTTGGTTTATTTTTGTTCCCCCCACCCCACCCCACCCCACCCACTTTTTCCCTGAATAATTTCATAAATTTATAGGGACAGTTTCAGAAACAGGAAATTGACTTAGGTTTATATGTTTGTGGGTGTGTCAGGCATTGGATGCTGAGGAGGCTAGCATGGGGTGGGTGGAGAGAGCTGGTAAAGAACGAAGTTTGGCCCACTCAAGGTAGCTTTGGTCATGGCTTCTTTTGAAGCTTTCCTTTGCAAGTTCTTCCTCCGTGCTGTAGGGCTCCAGGACCTCTCTCTTCTCCCATCTACCCTCACTCTATAGATAATCTCATCTAGTCTTGTGGCTCTAAATATCTGACAACTTCTATGTTGTTTTTATCTCCTTCCATACCTCTTCCCTGAACTCTTATTGCTTGTCTCCATTGGATGGCTAATGGAGATCTCAGACTTAACATGTCCCAATGAAAACCCCTCTAAACCAGCTCCTCCTATAGCCTTTCCCACATCATAATTAGCAACTTCATTTTTCCAGATACTCAAGCCAGAAATCTTGGTGTTCCCTTTGATTCCTTTCTTTCATACCCGATATCCAATCCATCAACCAATCTTATTGGCTCTTCCTTTAAAATATACCCAGAATCCAACACTTCTCATTACTTCGGTCCCTGCTATCCTAGTCCACATCACCAGTGTCTGACATGGGCTTCCTTGGTCCACCCTTGCATCAATCCCTACAGTCTTCTCAACAACCACTCTGAGTGATCCTCTGAAATTATGTGTCAAATCATGTCACTCCTGCTCAAACTCCTCATTCAAGGAAAAGTCCAAATCCTTAAATGCCTCTAAAGTCACAGAAAACTTGGCCCCGTAGCCCCCTTGGCCTCACCCCCCAACCCTCTGCTCACTTTGTTCCTGACTGTGCTGGCCTCCTTGCCTTTCCTCAAGTTGGCTGGGTAGACTCCTGCCTTACAGCCTTTGCAATTGCTGTTCCCTCTGCAGGGAATACTCTTCCCCTGGGTATGACAAGGCTCCCTACCCACTCCAGCTCTTTTAGGCTTTTCACTATAAGACCTTCCCTGATCACCTCATATAATGTTGTTCCCCATCCCCAGAACTGACAATTTCTTTATCCATTTTCTGCTTTTTTCTATATTAATACCATCATATTTTATTATATATTTGTCTGCCTTCTCCACTAGAATATAAGTTTCATTAGGGCAGAATTATTTAAGAGGGTTTGTTCTGTTTCTTCACTGCTATATCCCAGCATATAGTAAGTACGTAACAATGGCTATGAATGAATGAACAAATGTATGAGTATCGTTATCCTTCTAAATCCTAGCTGTCATCTGGAACCTTGGTCAACACGGTGGCATGATAGGAGGAAAGTCCGAGAGAGGGGTCCTCTGTCACCTCTTCAGAGCTATTTCTTCAGTCCAGCATATTCTTCCCTCTCTTCATCTAACTCCAGCTCATCCTCGAGGAGTCAATTTAAATCGCTTTTTTAGCCTGGGGTACTAAATTAGCAATATTAAATGCTTCTGCAGTTCTGGGTGTTTCTTTGCGTAGCACTTTGCATGCTTAGGGTTTTATAATAAATCATTCATAGCTGTTGTTTAATGTCTGTTTTCCCTATTAGACTGTGAGGGTCTTTGTTCATAGCTGGGTCCCCGGCACACAGCACATGGCTTGGCACATGTGTGTGCTCAGTTAGGAACAGTTGACAGTTGAGAGAACATGGGACTTTAAATGTTCAATTAAAGCCTAAAGACAAGGTGTCAGAGGGCAGACCCTCACAAACAGTTATGGAGAGGCAGACACCATTCCAGGGATGAGCCAAGGCCAGGTTCCCCCAGAGTTGTGAGAGGAGCCAGGGTCTGTGTTGGACCTCCACCTGCTCTGAGTGGGCAGCTGTTGTCACATGATGGGTTCACCTTGTAAATCCAGCTCTCAAGATACCCCCTGTTTGCCTTCAGTCAGGATGCACTGATAGGTAAGGAGGGCTTTACTCATACCCTTAACCTTGAGTTTCACACTGGCAGGCGGTCCACAAGGGGTATTAACTAAGAGGGAAATGAGTGCATTTTTCTCTCCGTTAAAAACCCACATGATTTTAGAGCCAGAAGAGACCATTTAACCTTGTGCTCTCATTTCACAGAAAAGAAAACTGAGGCTCAGAGAGTTGAAATGACTTGCCCAAGGTCACACAAATAATTAATAGAATAAAGCTAAATATCTGGGAGCCCTGAAGCCAACACGTGTTTTTTCCACTATGCAATGATCATGCTTCTTTTTCTTCTTCCCCTGCAATAAAACTTTTTTAAACAAAAAGCTCGACAATAACTTTAAAAAATAAAAGGGAGTATCTTTAAAAGTAAGCTTTAAAAATGTCATCTAAGTACAATTTATTACCATAATTAACCCTTAAATATAGATTTCAATCTATCCTGATTTCTTTCCCTTAGGCTTGAGTAAAAGATTTCTTTTAGCTCACCCCGACTCCTTATTTCTCAGCTTTGCAATTTCAGACCAGGCCCAAGATTGCCATTTCCACATAACTTCCTGACTTAAGCCTCTCTCAGGTGTGGACAGATTATTTCTCACAGCTGAGCCATGTCCTCTGGACTCGGTCCCTGTCTCTCTCTCTCTCTCCCTCCCTGTCTCTCTCTCTCTCCCTCTCCCTCTCTTTCTCTCTCTCTTCCTCCCTCCCTGCATTCCCTTCTAATGCTCCTGAATATGAGATTTCCTTTTCTCCAAAGTTTCCACCTGCTTCGTTAACACTTCCATTACAGATATATTTGGTTTTGCTTGAATTTGCTGATAATTTGAATATAACCCATAAATTTTCTCCATGACACTCCCTTATAGCTGCATCTCAAACTTGGTTTAGATACAAATCTATATGACCAATATTTATTACTGAGGATGGCATAAAGAGGTAAGAAACATCATCACTTGGCTGATGGGCAGTTCCAGCTAGTAGGGATACACAGACATGGCCAGTTGATTACAAGTCAGTAATATCACTTCTCACCACTCCAGTGCTGGCTTCCTGGGCCAAGCTCACCTCATCTCCTGCCTGAATCACCACAATAGCCTCCTCACTGGTCTCCTGTTCCACCGTTGTCTC